TATCGTTCGAGCACTCGTAAACTTATTCGGACCCTCTTGCACGATGGCAGATATGTAATTTTGGTGTTTACTTGCCATTTCTCATGCATTAGGGTTTAAACACACGGACACGTATTCGGATCCTCTTGCATGATGGCAGATATGTAATTACGGTGTTTACTAGCCATTTCTCATACATTAGGTTTCGGACACTCGAATACTTATTCAGACCCTCTTGCATGATGGCGGATATGTAATTACGGTGTTTACTTGCCATTTCTCATGTATTAGGGTTTAAACACTCGGACACCTATTCGGACCCTCTTGCATGATGGCAGATATGTAATTATGGTGCTTACATGCCATTTCTCATGCATTAGGATTTAAACAATCAGACACTTATTGTGACCATCTTGGAGCATGGCAGATATGTAATTATGGTGTTTACTTGCCGTTTCTCATGCATTAGGGTTCGAACACAAGGACACCCATTCGGACCCTCTTGCAAGATGGCAGATATGTAATTACGGTGTTTTCTTGCCATTCCTTGTGCATTAGGATTCGAACACTCGGACACGTATTCGCACCCTCATGCATGATGGCAGATATGTAATTAAGGTGTTTACTTGCTATTTCTCATGCATTAGGGTTTAAACACTCGGACACTTATTCGGACCCTCTTGCATGATGGCAGATATGTAATTGTGGTGTTTATTTGCCATTTTTCATGCATTAGGTTTAAAACACGCAGACACTTATTAAGACCCTCTTGCATGATGGCAGATAGGTAATTATGGTGTGTACTTGCTATTTCTCATGTATTAGGGTTTAAACACTCGAATACTTATTCGAACCCTCTTGCGTGATGGCAGATATGTAATCATGGTATTTATTTGCCATTTGTCATGCATTAGTGTTTAAACACTCGGACACTTATTCGGGCCCTCTTGCATGATGGCAAATATGTAATTATGGTGTTTAATTGACTTTTCTCATCCATTAGGGTTTAAACACTCGGACACTTATTCGGATAGTCTTGCATGATGGCATATATGTAATTATGGTGTTTAGCTGCCATTTCTCATGCATTAGCATTCGAACACTCGGACACTTATTCGGACCTCTTGCATGATGGCAAATATGTAATTATGGTGTTTAATTGACATTTCTCATGCATTAGGGTTTAAACACTCAGACACTTATTCAGACCCTCTTGCATGACGGCAAATATGTAATTATGGTGTTTAATTGACATTTCTCATGCATTAGGGTTTCAACACTCAGACACTTATTCAGATCGTCTTGCATGATGGCAGATATGTAATTATGGTGTTTAGCTGCCATTTCTCATGCATTAGCATTTGAACACTCTGACACTTATTCGGACCTCTTGCATGATGGCAAATATGTAACTATGGTGTTTACTTGCCATTTCTCATGCATTAGGGTTCGAACACTCGGACACCTATGCAGACCCTCTTGCTTGATGGCAGATATGTAATTATGGTGTTTACTTGCCATTTCTCATGCATTAGGATTCGAACACTCGAAAACGTATACGGACCCTCATGCATGATGGCAGATATGTAATTATGGTGTTTATTTGCCATTTCTCATGCATTAGGGTTTAAACACAAGGACACGTATTCGGATCCTCTTGTATGATGGCAGATATGTAATTATGGTGTTTGCTAGCCATTTCTCATACATTAGCGTTCGAACTCCCAGACACTTATTCAAACCCACTTGCATGATGGCAGATATGTAATTATGGTGTTTACTTGACATTTCTCATGCATTAGGGTTTTAACACTTGGACATTTGTTCGGACCCTCTTGCATGATGGCAAGGGTATTAGCAATACCAAGGGACTAATAGTCCCAACCCTTTCTCTGCAAACAAACAGGGACTTTAGTAATACCTTGGTATTACTAGTCCCAATACCCTCCCTATAGCCCAAAACAAACGGGGCCTAAAGGCCCAAATACTTACACGTAATAATGTTTTTTACATTCAACACCAATAGTACAATTTGTATTAAAAACTGAGCGATGTGGGGACAGCTGGGGAGAGCCATTGGGGTAAGGAAAACCGCATCTTTATTGACAAAGAGCCCTACTACTACCAGTGGACGAGTGGTTTACCTACCTATTCCGTTTAAAAAAAAAGAATATATGTGTTAATTAATATATTAATTAATAATGTTTTGTAATTTATAAAATTTTAATATTTATAATATGATTAATAAGTAGAGTTAATAATAATATCATAATTAATATTAGTACACTAATTAATATATGTAGCACCACCGTATAGAAAAAGAAAGATTATGAGCTCTAATTAAGAGCTTTAATAACTTTAATTAGTGTTTGAATTTTATGTAAGGTGATGTTTTAATTTTGATTTTTTTTTGTTTTTTACATTATTAGTGTTCTTTTAGAACTCTTAAATTAAAGAGATGTAACATTTTTACTCTGCTTAAATACAAATACGCATGGGGGTAGGGGTGCAATTTTGGCCCGACCCATGTCCGCTTGCGCGCTCCGGTCAAAAGTCAGGCCAGGCCAGGCCCACAGGCCAAAAAACTAAGCCTAGGCCCAAGCCCAAGCCCAGGGGTATTCGAGCTTTGACCGAGCCTAAATAAATTTTTTTATTTTTTCCATCAAAATTTTATTAGTTTCCATTAAAAATAACACTGGGCCTCGAGCCGGGCTTTTGAGTGGGCCTTGAGTGGGTCGATGGACCGGGCCACGAGCCAGGCCAGGTCGGACTTCAAAACGATGGCCCAGGCCCAAGACCTTGGGTTGGGCTTGGGCTCGAACCTAAACGAGCCAAGCCCACCTCGGGAAGTGGCCGGGCTTCGGGCCGTTCATGGGCTACGGGCCATTTTTACACTCCTACATAGGGGAAATGTTTTGGCCTCTAATGGTCGAGGCTCGAATGCCTTGAATTTTTTTTTACTTATTTGTTGGACTGTGTTGGTTTAGTTATTATTATTATTTTTTGTCTTTTCTATTTGTTGGGCTGTGTTTTTGTTTTGCTTTTTTTTATTATATATATATTTGTTGAGCTGCGTTGGTTCAAAAAAAAAATTTTTTGAAGGGTGATTACGCGTAAAGGTGTGCCAAAAAATCAGGCATTTCGCACGTACTCAGCTTATGTGGTTTGATAAGGTAAGTGCGTTGAGTTGAACTGGTTAGATGATAAAATTAACTAATTAATTAGGAATAAAAATATAGCATGAACTGGTATAAAATTATATAGAATTACAAAATTTTAACTAGCAATCTAATTGATCAATCAATTTATAATCCAACCAACCTAACCCAGAGGAGTTGTTTGAGGTGTCCTAAATAAGTATACTTTTTGACTTTTTATGAAATATGGGTTGAGTATAAGTTGGGTTTGAAATAATGTGATAGAGAGGTGATATAATTTAAATAAAATGATATGACTTAAATAATATAATAATTTTTTAACTTTTTTTAATTATGTCAAACCAAGCCCAAGTTAATATGGGATGTCCGAGTCAACATCCTCCCCTTGCGCTCCCTCCTTGCAGGGCCTTCGGGCTCACTTTTAGGCCCAATTTTGATAATCCGAATCATTCATATTTTAAGATTTATTCAGTATATCATACCTGTAAAAATCAAGTTGATCGGATTTCAGAAAGCATGTGTTCGGAAAAATCGAACTAAAAACTATTTTTTTAAAGAATTTAGTAAACAGGTTTCCGAACACATGTTTTCTGATATCCGATCACCTTGATTTTTTACAGGTATGATATACTGAATAAATCTTAAAATATGAACGGTTTAAATTATCAAAATTAGACTTAAAAGTGAGCCCAAAGACCCTACAAGGAAGGATGCAAGGAAGGAGCGCAAAGGAGGATCCCAATTCGGGATGTCCACCCTACCTTTCCAAAAAAATAACTAAACCAACACATTCAGACAAATAAATAAATAAATAAAGTACAACCCAACAAATAAAAAATATATATAAAATAAAAAATAAAGAAAGAGGAAGAGAGAGGAATGCCTCGCCTCGAAAATTCAATGCCCCTAGCACTACCGAATAGGGAGTGGTGATTCATCTCACTAATTTTTGGACCACTAATAGCTCTAATGAGTTTAAAAATAAAAAATAAAAATAAAAAACTCAAACCAAAACATCACATCACTTTGGTGGGGGACACTGTGCCACATCATTAGTGATGCTCTAGAGCTCCAAATTTAATGTTCTAAAACATTATTCGCCGAATAGGCGGGATGGATGGGTGGACGTGTGATTCAAAAAATACAAATTAGTTTATTAATTTTTTATATGTAGAATTATTGTGTTTTATGAAGAGCGTGGGATAAAAAAAAAAGTGAAATAATTCTGTCTCTGGATTAAAAGGAGAAAAAGGTTAAAATGATATTTTTTTTCCTATTTTTTGCCTTCAATTTTTTATTTATATTAATTTTAATTATATTAAGTAAAGTAAAATAAAATATAAAAATCTTAACTAAAAATTAAATAAAATACGATACAAGGAGGTTTTCCGCTTGCCCATAAAGCAGGTTGATTCAACGCAAACAGAAATAAAGAAAGGGCTTCCATGACAATGGGGTCTTGGACTTGTCGGATTCAATAAGACAGCTTAATCTAAATATTTAATTTTTTGACTAAATAAATATAGAGCATTGATAGAGACCCTCTCTAATCACCAGCCCCACCACCTCACACACACGTGGCGGGTGGTGATTGGAGGAGAAGGAAAAGAAAAAAAATAAAAAAGAAAAATTGGCCAATGGAAAGAAAAGGGAGGCAAAGGGGAGAGAGAAAAAGGGGATTAAACATTTTTGATAAATATATAAGATTTAATAAAATAATTTAATTTAAACATCTAATTTTATAATTAAACAAATATAATATACAAATTTAATTCAGTTAATCTGTCTAAACAAATACATCATTAACGGACACATCATGGGTCAAATTGTCCGCCCCGTTTTTCTCGCCCCACTTCCGCCCTCCATCTTTTACTCTCTCTATCTCTCTCTTCTCCTCTCACACCCACTAGTCTTCGAGATCCAAGGCATTCAAATCAGTTACTTGACGTTATGGAAGCAGCAGATGATAGATAGAGAGATATCATAAAGAGAGAGAGAGAGAATAAATTTGATCGTGTGAGAGAGAGAGACAGAGAGATGATGTGGAGATGGTCGTGTATTTTCCTGAAACAGAGTCTGTCGTCGGCGGTTGGGTACAAACCGAAGGCGAAGGCGGCGTTAGGGCTGAGGGTGGTGTGTGCATCGTTTTCAACGGAGTCGGGCGGCGGCGGAAGTGGTGGTGATGCGGTCGGAGGAGGAGGGGATAATAATAATAGTAGTATGTCGTTTGCGGAGGCGAAGAAGCTGATGAGATTGGTAAATGTGGAAGCGTTGAAGATGAAGCTAGGGGGTGAAGAGAAAGAGGTGATCTGCTATTCTGAGCTCCTCCAAGCCTGTGAGAGTATGGGCGTTGCCAAATCTCGCCACGAAGCTGCTGCTTTCGCCCGTGTTCTTGATGAGGCCGGTGTTGTTCTTCTCTTCAGAGACAAAGTCTATCTTCATCCCGATAAGGTACTTCTCTCTCTCTTTCTCTCCAAATTTGTGTGTTTATTAGTCACAAAAGTCTGGGGGAACCATGCATTTCACTTTTAAATGTAATTTTTGTGGGGCCTCTGATTGGGAAATACAAAAAAGGATATTCGATCTTGCAATGGAATAGATCATGTGCTCCCTTTAATTCTCTACTCTTTTTCGCTTCCATTTAAAGTCATAATAACCTGGGGTTTCAATTTGAAGTGAATTGGTTTGGTGCTACCAATTCTTTTGTAAACCCCCAATGTTGAGTCTTGATTGTGTCAACTCTCAAGCAGACGAAGAGATGAGAGCAACAAAAAAAAAAAAGTCCATCGATCAAAGCATGTTGAGACTGAGAATCCAGGAATTGATTATGTTGGATTCATGAATTTCTGTCTATACTACTTGGGGTTGCGGCCAATTTGTTTGGTATTCAGTATGTAGAGAATTTCCAGGTATCAGATTGGGGTTACGATGTACAAAAGGATTTGTTTTTTTGTATGATAGGCCAACCTTTTTGAAGCTCTGTCGGCATTTGAAAGCCTAAGAATTGCAGAGGGATTTCAACTGTAGAGTATGCGATTCGACTTACGTCATATCAAAAAAGCCTTTATCCGTTCATTTTTGCACTTGGAAATTTATGGTTTTCTATGATCTATCCGTGTTTATAAGTTAGTAATGTCTTTCTCTTCTGCTATGCTTTTTTTTTTTCTTCTAGTTTTACAACTTTCTGTTGTCCAAGGCATGAAATGAAGAACAAATATTCACCAAAAGTTCATTCTGGTGAGCTGATTTAAACTGTCTTAGGTGGTTTGGTTGTAAGTATTTTTTTTTTTAGAATTTTGATGCCAGTATTGCAATGTTATTGCATTTATCCTGATATTGTATTCTTTTTTGTGTCACATCATGTGATATACCCAAATGCTAATTGTGTGATGATGTTTCAAACCCGTTTTGATTTATCTCTGTTTCTGGCAATCGCTTCACTCGATTGGTTGCATACAATTATTACTTATTCAAGCCTTTGTCCTATGCTTCTTGCTTATCCTCCTTTCCCCTCTCAATTGTTTTTTCTGCTCTTACTTAGTAGCTTTTTATTTTAATTTTTTCCTTTTTGTCATTACAGTATTATGATGCTATCTAAAACTTTCTGCTTACAGCTCTAAAATTATGTTCTTTTCATTAGCTGATTAAGAGCTCCTTCATCAAACTGATGAAAATGCAGCTGGCAACCCTCTACAGAGCCCAATCTATGTTAAATGAAATGCTTCGATCAATCAAAGGCTCAGTACCATATTAATGAAGTTTGAGTGAAATTATTATTGATGCAATTATCTATGTTACTTAGTGTTCCTAACCTTTACCTTTAATTGGACGAAGTAGTTGTTCTCAGACTTGAACCTGTGTACTACACTTGACAGCCCAAACTTTTTGCCATTGCACCAAGCAATGTCCCCAACAACATTAAACATAAGATGTACTCTTCTATCTGCCATATAGAGTGAGATGGAATCAGTTAAAAAATAGGTGATATCTTGCAAATCAAGTGATTAAGACTCCAGCAACCAGTTACCAGTATAGCCTCAATTTAAATTGTGTTACAATTCAAAAGGTGCCAAGTTCTTGTGTGGTATATCATATATGGATACCCGGACTTGAGTACGAGTGTTGTGTACAGGTTTGTGTTTAAGTGTGTCATATTATCTAATTGTCATGTTCAAGAGGATACCAAAATATGGCTTGATTTCATATTTCTTAAGTACTTTATTTATTTAGAGTAAAATTGTGTTTACAAACTAATGTAGAGTATTTTAGACATAAAATGAGAGTTTTATGCAAAGTTATGAGGTACACTCAACCAGGGCCGGCCCTAACTTTTTGCGGGCCTAAGGTGAACTCAGAAGATGGGGGGGCCCGGGTTCTCATACATATTTGAAAATATATATATTGGTAAAAAATCTTCAATTTATTTTCATTTTTTGCTTGTACCTTCCATAAATTTGTTGCATTTGGGACACATAATTATTGAGATAAATTTTGAATTTGTTATTGTTAACACTATTAATTTATTCACACTTTTCTTGACATAATAAATTAAATTGTAAAATTTGATTAACTTCAAAAAATTCTCCAGAAGTAATTGTTACTCGTATAGTCAAACAATATTCTATAAAAAAAATTCATACATTTGGCAAGTAACTATCCATTATTTTTAAATAATTCATCAATTCAATTGTTTGTTTAAACTTTCATTTTTAAACTAATAATACTATAATGTAGTGTTTGGTTCACTGAAATAAAATTGAATTGAATGGAACGGTCATCTCTTAGTCTCTTTATAACGTTACTATTCTCTCACAATGGTGCATGATGATTTTGTTTGTAATCTTTTTAGTAAATCAAACGTGAATATAGACATTGTGATGAAATGATTACTCTATTCTACTTTATTTTAATAAATCAAACGTAACTTAAGACTAAAATAATTAACCAAACATAACTTAACATTAAAATTATTTTGGGGTTTTATTTTTCAGACAGAATTTTGGGGGCCCAAGACGGCGGCCTTGCCCACTTTACCTCAGGGCTGGCCCTGTCATACATAATGTGTGCATGTCCAACTAGACATAATTATGATTGCCATTTCTTCTTCTTTTTCTTCTTAGTTTAACCTTCCTTCTTAGAGGTTTATTATTTCTATGATTATTCTCTCCATATGGTGATTTTGATTTCTGCAAGTGTGCCTCTTAGACTGTCGAAATGAAACATTTGACCCGTGGATCGTGTTTCTTTCTTTATTTAGCCTACTTGAATGCCCTAGATCTGTTAATTAGATTTTTTTCGGCTATCCAACTGGGATAAATTGGCTTGAGTTGTTGACACGATATGAATTTTTATTTCAGTGAGTCTCAACAGTTTTTTTTCCTCCCAATTTATCTGTCATTTCCGTTATTGTCAAATAGTGAACCGAACCGTGAATCGTTTTGCTACAATAGTGAATCATGAATCATAAGAGCACTTTATTTAATATAATCTAATTTAATTTATGAAAAAATAATATATTCTTATATATGTATATATACATGTAAAAATACACACAATGTTTAAAATAAAATGAATTATCAATATTACTAAATTATATATACATGTATATAAAATTATGTACATTAATATAATTAATTGATCTCTTCTTTATTTCTTGATAGAGGGGTGAAACATCTTTTTGGTTGAAACTCGTCAAAACGTATGAATCTAATCATGAATCACACAATTCTTACATTCATGGTCCTTTCTGTTTAGAAGCCTTACATATTTGATATTATTACTTAAATTGATTTTTGTTGTTCCATGTACTTCTATGTATTCAGGTGGTGGATCTGGTTAGAAGAGCAGTGCCCCTTGCCCTGACACCTGAAGACGACCCCAGGAGGGATGAGCTAAAGAAGCTCCAGGAGAAGAAGGAAGAAATCGACATGCTGGCACATAAGCAGGTCCGGTGCATCCTCTGGTCAGGGCTAGGGTTGGCTATCATGCAGGTCGGGCTCTTCTTTCGTCTTACATTCTGGGAATTCTCATGGGATGTTATGGAGCCAATTGCATTTTTCACCACCACCACTGGCTTAGTCATAGGTTATGCCTACTTCCTGTTTACTTCGAGAGACCCAACTTACCAAGACCTAAGGAAGAGGCTTTTTCTGTCAAGGCGAAGGAAGCTCATCAAGAGGCGCAGTTTTGATGTGGATAGGTTCAACGAGTTACAGAAGAAATGCAAGTGTCCCCTAGATGCCCATGCCTTTCCCAAACAAAGGATAGGAGGGTTGGAACTGGAACCAGAAGACGCTTTGCATTAGGCGCTAACACAAATTCTTCTAGTTAACAACCTAGCCCGCTAGCCCCTTCTATTTTCTCCAAGGCGGCAAATATATTTATATTAACTGGGTTCCTGATCCCAATTTTCTTTTGATGCTCAGTTTCTCAATGCTATTTTTTTTGTTTTTTTTAACCCCAATTGGAAAGAACTTGTGGGGATGAAAGATAGGTTACTGAGTTGATTGAGAGGGTTGAGTCCCTTGTGAAAGGCCTGGAATCCATGCTAACTGTGTTCATTGCCTTGGCATTCAATCTGTATTTTGGCTGTTTCAACGGCTAGGAAATTCTAATTTTACAAACTCAAATAGAATAGCATGCCTTTCTACAAAAATGATAAGACTTTCTTGTGATGATGCTACTATGTAAGTCTCTGTATATGCATACATAGTCTAATCAAATGTTCACTTACAGACTAGAATTTAGTTTCCTTGGAACAAGGCCTTGTTTGGCAAGCTCCAATTTTAGTGCAAAAGTTTAAAAAAGTCAAAAATCAAAAAGTCAAGAAGTCACCATATAATTACATATTTTTTGTAAAGTCATTCAAAATATATTAGTTTTTTTGTTTTATTTTATATTTTAGTCAAAATTATTAAAATGGTTTGTTTTCAAATGAGATCTAAGTTAAGCCGGTGTGGATGGTACTGGAGAGAGAGAGAACTGAGTTGTGTGATATAGAATGTGCACGTCAAACGCAATTTTGTTTCCAGAAACCATATTGTGCCAGAAAACAAAGACTCAGTTGTATGTACAATTAGCATAGGATTAGCAAACTTTATCCAGATACAGTCAGCAAATTTTACATTTCTTAGCTTATACAAGTCTAATAATCTTATAGCATAATAGGCAGGCAATTTTACATAGAGCCAACATATTTACCAAAAATTTCCAAATTAAGGAAGTCACTTCCATAAGAATTTGCCAAGTGTTATACTGGCTACATAAACTTTCTATTAATGAAGTTTTATAACTACACAAGAAAGGCTTCAGGCAAACAAGCTTGACATATATTACATAAGCCTATACAGGTTATTCTTCTTAAATATCAAGAACTCACTTTCAAGGCAGCTCAGCATTTCAACAATAGACTCTTCCGTGGATCCATTGAAGTGCTTCAAAATATCAGATAGGGAAACCTGCATAACACGAACAATAGCATCCATTTAGCGTTCTTAGCTAGCGAGGAAGACGCTAAAACAATAAAAAGTCATTTGTCTTTTAAATGATATCGAGTGTCAACCACTTACCCCATCTTTGTAGTTCTCAAGCCAACTTAACATTGAACTCTCTGTTGCCTCCGGTGCAAGTGAATTTTCTTCTTTTCCATTGACTTTATGTCGTTTGCTAGGGGAAAGTAGATCATCAGTATAATGACCAACAGCATTCTCAACTGATCTTCGAAATTCACGAGTTCCTTCCGTGTGGCATGGATGATTGGATGTTGGTAGTAACACTGATGTTACATTAGAATGTTCATCAGCTCTGCAGTGACCTGGTGGAATTACTTCTGCTGAAATCCCCAAATCTTGTATTGCCAAACATACCTTGATAAGTGCATAACTTATCTGGCATCATTAATCATAATTATCACTTATCAGCATTCAGACAAATAAAATGAAAACCAAAATTCTGGCTCACATATTATTTGAAACGTAAGTTTCCTAGCAAGATATATATACATAAATATGGTGTGTAATTGAGGTCCAAATGTCATTCTAAGCACAACACTAAGGAGGGGTTAGACAATTGTTGTAACAGTTTTTTGTTGGACTTGAGTGAACCCTTTAAAAAAAAAAAATTCAAAAACCTTTAGACTTTTAGGTTTTACTAGACTAGACAGACCTGAAAAGTCAAAAAAATCGTCTTTTTTCTTTGGTCTTTAGTGAATTTTTTTCAATTTTTAGTTTTTAACAGTCTCTAAATTGCATATACCTCTAATGCATTAGTACTTTTTATTCATAGAGCTCACCTCTTCTGGCAACTCATTTTTGATAGGCTTCAACTTGTCTTTTGAACCAACCTTCAAGATGGCGGCCTGAATATTTGCAAACAGCTCACGAGTTAGTGCAATCTCCCGACAGAATCTGATCCAATCAATTGCACATCCTTCTTGTGCAGCATCAACGATGTATCCAATAACAGTGTCCTCTTTAACTGGAGCTGATCTACCGGGAAAATTCTACAAAGAACAATAGAAGAGAGGGGAAGGGGGGGTGGAGAATTAACCCTATAACAAAATAAGGTTTAACCAGGTAATCACTAACTAAGACTTACAGCAATTTTCTGAAATGAGAGACCGTCCTCATGCCACATTCTCCAAGCTTCAAACCTTGCTGGTGTCAATTTCCTTTCTTGGTTTGGTGTTGTATACACTGGTTTTGTAATATTTGGTTGTATGCTTGCATCGTCGTCCAAAGAAAGGTTCAACCCTTGTGATAGACGTTGAATACTACGAAGAAAATGATCCCCATACTTTGTCAAGAGGTGCTGCAGCATCATTGAAGCTTTAGTTTAGACAAATAAATTTGTTGCTACTTGCTAGGTCAAAGGAAAAAGATCAATTAACATCTAGGGTTCTCTTTAAATAGTTTTTCAAATTTTGTCACACAACTAAAACTGGCAGGGTGTAGTCCAATGTGGTTCGTGACATCCCAAAAGTGCCATACTTAACTGACAAGTTAATCTCTTCCCATAGTCGATGTTTCTAGGTTTCATACAACATTAGAAGCAACTGTATCAGAGAGCAATGGCATCGAATACATGAAGGGGACGGACAGATTTGTGAGGGAGAAATCAGGAAAAAAGTATTAGCATGTTTGTATGAAAACCTTTTCTAAACATGAATAAGAGGATCAAGGATATTGGTCAAAAACTAAGACAACTAAAAGTGTTACCTTCTTACCAAAAAAAAAGGGTAATACCTTGACTTTGATGCAGAAAACAAATGGTCATGGAAAATTAATCATGATTCATGATGCTGTTGGACGTCAGCATGTATAAATTTAAACTTTTTGGGTTGTTTTAAACAACTAATTAGTACCACTCAACAAATCACTGATTTGGAAATAGAAACAGTATCAAAGACAGAAAAGAGGTAATACAAGACACTAGATTGTCTGCTCTCTTCCATTCCATGCATCATCCTTGAAGACAGATGACCATGTCGTAAGGAAAAAGTTCATGAACTAAAGATTAATGTGCACATCTTCCTAAAGAAAGCATAGAAAGTAACAAGTTCCTGGGGGGAAAAATCATGGATGAAAAGTCAAGCAGCAAACCAAACAGTGAGACCTGGACAGAGTATAAAAGGAAGCTTTAGACAATTGATGAGTCGACAAGCAGAGAGCACTGACAAACAAGAAATAATCACAATGAACAATCTGAAACAAATGTCGACTCTTCCAGCAACCACATACTGCTTTGTATCGTTTAAGACATTTGTGCTTTAGACAAACACAAGCTGTGAGGCAACTCATAGAATGAATTGAAAAGTCCCTTAATTCATCCAAATTCATAAAAGATACAAGCAGTTGAAAGCCAGTATTCTATCCATGAGCAAGCAACCCCATATAAGAAATTTGCATGAAAAAAATAAAATCATAAAAAAAAGAGAGAGAGAGAGAGATAGAGAGAGAGAGATTGCATGACATGATCAAGACACTTAACTAGGAAGAAAATAGAACACATGCGTGTGGTTGATTTTGATATACCTGGTTGACACCATCAATGTTTGCTAGCCTCGCTTTAGTAGATGGCCTTGTCAATACTATCTTTTTCAATGTTTGATCACCACATATAGCATATCTGCAAAGTGGAAGGTATTTAACAGCAGAAGTAAAAACGGTTTCTTTCCTGCAAAGTAATGATGTAAATTGCAGTTGGGATTAGCTAGTGTTGATCATATCATAAAACTTACGGAGCAGTTCCGACAGCTCTTGCAAGCTTCATTCTCTCCTCTAAAAGCATTTTATAGAGTTGTGCCTCAGCCTGCACTAGGAAAGAATGATTACACTGTCCATAGTCCATCAAGCATGTAAGGAAATCATAAAATTTTTAAAATATGCATTCAAGAAAAATATTGGAGTTATTAAGGTCAGTGTGCAGTTGACATTCATTTAAAGGCAATCTGTGAAAGGACGGAGAAGAAAGCACATCTATGGTCTAAAGACTAATCCGAGACACGCACATAACATAACTACAGCGATCAAACATACTCCCTCCGTCCCAAAATATTAGTCCCTTATTCCATTTTTGATTGTCCCAAAATATTAGTCCCTCTTAAAAAATCAAGTACAAAAATAATATAAATTTCCTATTTTGCCCTTCTTTTAAATTAATAAACAATATAAAAAGTACAATTATGACATTGATATTCCCAAAAAATGTACTATCAAAAGGATAATTTTGGAAAATTAACTTTTTTCAAAAGCAATAATTGTACTACCAAAAAAAGTTGGATTCCCCAAAAAGGACCATTATTTTGGGACGGAAGGAGTATATAGTAAAAAAGCAAAATAATTTCAAATGGCTTCTGTAATAGTAATAAATTGCAAAAATAATATAAATTTCCTATTTTGCCCTTCTTTTAAATTAATAAACAATATAAAAAGTACAATTATGACATTGATATTCCCAAAAAATGTACTATCAAAAGGATAATTTTGGAAAATTAACTTTTTTCAAAAGCAATAATTGTACTACCAAAAAAAGTTGGATTCCCCAAAAAGGACCATTATTTTGGGACGGAAGGAGTATATAGTAAAAAAGCAAAATAATTTCAAATGGCTCTGTAATAGTAATAAATTGAAAACAAGAGAGAATGAAGATGGGGAAAATGTGACGCTTGAGAAAGCATGGGGTAATAATTTACTCTTTTCCTACTTGAAAATGTGACGCTTGAGAAAGCATGGGGTAATAATTTACTCTTTTCCTACTTATAATAGTCTATATATTCCCCTTTAGAATGCTGGAAGTAAGTACCTCTGACAGACCCTCATATTCCAGAGGAGACAAACCAATGAACTCTTTAACTTCACCTAGCTTGTTTCTAGGTTTCTCATTGCCAGACAATTCATCAGTCACCGGCAGAACCAATGGAGGTTGATGATCAGGTTTGGAAGAGCTCAGAAACTGCATTCCTTTAGGACTCACACTGATGCATAGAAAAATAAAATTTTCAACATTTTCATTGTAGGTTCCATCTGAAGGATGATGCTGATGTATAAAAGCTACATAGAGGATGAGAAGAGGGGGAAACATGCTATAAATTCATAACTTGCAGTGTAGATGATATAGGCGGAAAACAAGTTACCATACAAACTTAAAGACATCTCTAATAGTCTCAGTCAAATAACCTGCACCAAAGTTGCAGATTTTGTTTAACAAACTTCAAATAAACATAGTATTGTTCAAAAACTTAAAATCTGCTTAGCTATGAATTATTTACACATGGATACATACCATGAGAAATTAATTGGTAACCTAGTGCTTTCCACCAATTTGCTGATAACTCTCCCAAGCCCATGAAATGGGAGCTTTGTCGAACTTGAGCATCGAGAATTTTCTTGGACTGTGACGCACAAAGAATGGCAAGTATCAGGAACAGAACTAGCCAGCCACAAAACAGTTTAAAACAAACAGACTAAATGAGGGAAAAAATTGAAATTTTAATGAGAATTTCAATAACGGTTGGGTATTTAACTTCAAATGTGGAGTCAAAGCTATGAAGCACGGGTACTCCAAAAATGGTGCCGTCGAGTCCCGGGTACTTACCGGGGTGCAGGTACACGTACCGGGTACGCCGAGTACATGCCAGGTACGGCAAATACATTTGGGAACATCGTGGGTATGGCACCAGTACGGTGAGGCTTTTTTTTTTTTTTTTTTTAGCTGCTAGAATTTGTTGCAACCTTTATTATTCTTCTTTCAATTTGGAAAATATCAAGTAATTTATTTCCAACACCCTTTACCCATGAGTCATGGTTTTGCTCTCTTTTACATCCTATTTTAGACAATCAAAAAAGAAAAATAAAGAATTATATAACTTTTTAGATAAACTGTTCTTTTTTTAATTTTGATATTAAAACATTGATTTGTATGTTGGATGTTTAGTTATAAAATTTTACAAAAAATTTGACGTACCCCAGCCGTACCCGTACCCGTACCCGTACCCGTACCCTACTTTTTCAAGAATTTTCCATATCGGTTACCCGTATCGTACCCACACCCGTGCTTCATAGAGTCAAAGAGTGCAACAATAACTTGTGCATGATCAAGGTGCTGGAGAAAATTGAATGTTAATCACAGGGATAGCAGCTCCTCCAGAAGAACAGAGCTTTAAAGACAACTAGTTTATTAGAAACATGAAGGTGCCTCAAGACAAATCAAGCCAAAAGTGAATAATCCCAGGTAGGACTACAGATGAGCAGATGTGAGTCGAGTACATGAATGTTCAATCTCAGCTCAGTCTAATTTTAGAGTGTTTGGGTCCAAGTCAAGCCTAAGCCTTTATGTTCAATCTCAGCTCATTGTTGACTTGGAAAACTCGACCAGAGATCTTACCAGGTTGCTCTCCACTAGGACAGTCGTTACATTCTTATTTGTTGATTCAAAATTTAAACCTAATCACATAAAAAGTTGTATTTATTTGAAGTCAAAAAGCTGTCTGTCAGCCTTTTTAGTGTTCCGCTCAAACATAAAAGAGTATACATTGCACGTATTTTGCTTCTGAGACATTAATGTTGTGTTTGGATCATGGATTTAAGTAGAGATTTGGAAAGGAAAAAGAAAAAGATAGGTGAAATATAGCTATATTTTATTCACATTTCACCCATTTTTTCATTTTCCCTTTCCAAATCCTTGCCCAAATCCATGACCCAAACGCAACCTAAAGGCTATGAAGCACAGATACTTCTAAAAGGGAGACGTATCTGTATCGTATCCGTATTGAATACCGATACTCCTTGGACACTCCTGGATACTTATTGAAAGTATCAGATACTTCTTAATTAATTTTTCATTAATTCTTACGTATCAGATACTTATTGTTAAAGTATCGGATACTTCAAGTCACGTATTACTTGTTTTCCAAAATTAGAAGTGTATTTTTCAGAAAAAACAAAATTAGAATTATAGCATTTCTTATATAGCATTATAATATAACTTAATTGCGAGGATAAATACAATAATATTTTTCCAATACTTTGCTTAATTCTTTGATAAAACGAACATAGTAAGTTAAAAGTAATAGAATTTGTCAAATTGGTGTATCCTTACTGTATCATGCATATTTCATATAACTACATAGAAAGTAAATATTAACCAGTGAACATAACAATAGAAGAATCAAATATCAATAATAACTAATCAAGTAAACTTACATACAATGTTTTTTACTAGTGTAAAAGGGAAAAGCACATAGACAAATTCATGTGGATTATTTTGCTATTGTGATGTAAACATATTGGACTTGATATTGAAACAAAATATTTGTAAAACCTATTGAAAATTAATAAATAAACTAGCTAATGGCTTAAATTAATTCCTAATTCTTAAATATTAGTATTTTGCATTATAAAATTACAGTGTAATTTCTCAACATTCTTGAGCTTATGTATAACTCACTACTAATAATTTAAAAAATAATTTTTTTACAAACGTATCCTAACCGTACCAGTATCCTACTTTTATAAGTGGAGAAGTGCGTCTGGGATACTATGCGATAAACGAGTACTTACTAAGGAAAATTCTATAGAATGGCTATTAGACCAGCGATGTTGTATGGAATGGAATGTTAGGCAACTAAGAAACATGTAAATAAAATGAGCGTTGGCTGAGATAAGGATACTAAGGTAAATATGTGACAAGACTAGAAAAGACAAAATTAGGAATGAATATATTCATGAATGGATAGGAGTAGCACCGATACAAGATAAACTGAGAGAGAATAGATTGAGATGATTTGGTCATATATAATGGAGACCAACAGTAGCAATCGTAAAGAAATGCAATATAGTGACAGTGAATGGAAGTGTTATGGAAAGGAGCAAACCTAGATTGACGTGGGCTAGTGTAATAAATAGAGATATGAATCTCCTTAATTTGACTAACCAAATGGCCTTTGATAGAGTCGAGTAGAGAAGAAGGATTCATGTAATCAATTGATGGGACTTAAGGCTTGGTTTGGTTTAATTTGGTTTGTCACATCATATGTTATCCATATCCGTGCTTCCTTGCCTAAAAGTGGTTTAAATTTAAAATTAAATGGCCTTCAAAAGTTGTTATATTCCAAACTTGTCATTGTGCGTTGCTTATGCTCATGAACAAACCGAGCCAAGCTCATCTAAGTGTGAGAATATATGTTAATATGTTAATTATGGAAATATATATATATATATATATATATTTTTTGATAAATTAATTATGGAAATATATATCAATTAGGTTAACTGTATAGGGTCGATTGATTGTGTGAATATTAGGTTGATTGTATAGGGTCGATTGTTTCCTATTTCAGATTAGATTTAGTTTTGCTATATATATCGGTTGTAATCTTTGTAGTAGGCACAATTGAATATAGAGATTCATTCAAAAAACTTACATAGTATAAGAGCCACGTCCGAAACCCTAGGTCTGGCCTTGATCATTTGAAATTCTTCCTCTGCGTTCACACCTGTTGTTCGAAGTCTTCTCTGGTCTTCTTCAAAGTCGCGACTCAGGGATCGTTCGTCTCTCTCCCTGTGGTTCGTGGGCCTCTCTGGTTCATGGGTCTCTCTAGTCTTCTTCGCAGGCCTCTTTGTGTCTGGTTCATAGGTCTCTTCGAAGGCCTCTTTATGTCTGGTTGTATCTCTCTCTCTCTCTCTGTTTGTATGTGTTCGTGACTTTTGACTCTATTCAGTACTGTTATTTGGTTTTTTTTTTTAAAAAAAAAAACACTTATTTATAGTTTTGCCTACTTGTTTTTTATTATTATCCTTCAACCTGTTAATCTTTGGTTTATTACAATGACAGACACCAAAATCCAAGCCATCAAATGTAAACTCACTGATGCCAATTATGCTTATTGGGCTAGTGTTATAAAAAATTTCCTTCTTGGTCAAAAAAAATGGGGCTATGTTTCTGGTTCTGTTTCTCGTCCATTGGACCTAAAACAAGAAGGATATCTAACTTGCTGTAACACTTGGGATTGTGATAATGCCCAAGTTCTGACCTAGTTTTATAATTCTGTGGATGACCGTATTGGAATGATGTTTTCCAAATACAGTACTGCCAATGAGGTGTGGGACTATTTATTAGGTGTGTATCAACAGTCCAACTTTGCCAAGCAGTATAAGTTGGAAACAGTTATTTAGAGTGCTCGTCAGCAGGATCAATCTATTCAGGACTTCTACATTGAAATGACAGGTTTCTAAGGTCAATTGGCTCTCATGGAACCATCTAGCCTTAAGGCACCAGACGCTTATGTTGAGTTTCGGAAACAAGGTCGTTTAGTGCAGTTCTTAACGATTCTCTCCCCTCAGTATGAGGCCATCCGTGGTGGCATCCGTCATCGGTCTCCTCTCCCTAGTGTGGATGCTATTATTCATGAGCTCCTCTCCGAGGAAACCCGTCTTAAGACGACTAGTCAGACTCTGTCTCCATCTGTCTTCTTGGCTTCTACTCGGTCTCCCCTATTGTCAACCCCACCACCCTATCAACTTCAGGCCCACGCAAAGCCCAAGAAGGGGCCACTAGCCTCTGATGAGTGCTTTTTGCCATCAGAAAGGCCATTGGAAGTACAACTGTCCCAAGAAGAGACATCAGTCTGTTCAGTCTTCTTAGCTGCCTCAGACACAATTTCGACCTCCTGCTGCTTATATTGCATCTGCTCCAGCTTCTAATCCTGACTTGGCTTCCTTGCGTGCCGAAATGGCTCAGCTTCAGCATCTTCTGTCCACCTCTCAGCCATCCTCATCTGCCTCTGCTCTCACCTCTCTTTATTCAGGTTTGTTTGGGTCCTCTTAAGGTATCTCCTCTTCTGTCTAACTTTTTAACTCTGGTGACTCTCATCATATGACTCCTCACCTTTCCTTATTTCAAATCTATATCTTTCATCCCTTTGCTATTACTGTTAATACTGCTAATGAGTCTGATATGCTTGTTCTATCTGTTGAGTCTGTCTTACCCTCTGCCGTGTCTGTTGTTACTATTCTCTTTGTTCTTTATGTTCCTCAACTATCTGTTAGTTTATTATCTATCTGTCAATTTGATACTTCTAGTTTTGATGTTATCTTTTCCTCTTCTGTCTATTGTGTGCGGGATCGGGTGTCCAAGAAGCAGATTGGGACCGGCTGTTGAATTGGAGACCTCTATGTGATAGAAAGCTTGCATCTCCCTCTATCCACCTCTCCAGTTGCTTTTTCCTCATTTTAGTTAGATTCTCAATCGAGTCAGTTTTACTTATGACATTCTCGCCTAGGTCATTTGTCTGTTGACCGCTTACGATCTTTAGCTCAGTTAGGATTATTGGATAAAGTTACCCCCAGTCAAATTGATGAATGTCAGGGAGTGTAAACTTGCCAAAATATCAGCTTTACCTTTTAATAAAAGTACTTTTATTTTTGTTTCTCCATTTTCTCTTGTGCATATTGATGTCTGAGGACCCTCTCCTGTTCTCACTAAAAGGGATTCTGCATACTATGTGTCTTTTGTTGATGATTGCACCCGTTATACTTAGGTTTATCTTATGACTCATAAATATGACTTCTACCAAATATATCGTACATTTCAATTTATGATCACTACACAATTTGGGGCTACCATTAAATTGTTACGATCTGACTTGGGTGGGAAATATTTTTAAACTGAGTTCTGTGAGTATTTAGCCAATTTAGGTACCATTCACCAAACTTCTTGTATTGATACCACTGCCCAAATGGTCGAGCCAAACGTAAACACCATCATCTCCTTGAGACAGCTAGGTCTCTTCTTCTCTTTGTCTCAATTCTACCTTCGTTTTGGGGAGTGGCCTCTTCTTCTCTTTGTCTCAATTCTAGCTTCGTTTTGGGGAGTGGCAGTTCTTACTGCTGCTTTTCTTCTTAACCATATGCCTACTCACCTTCTTTCTGTCGATCTCCTTATGACACTCTGTTCTCTTAACTTCCCAATTACTCCCTCCTTCGTGTATTTGGGTCTACTTGTTTTGTCCCCCGTAAAGATCGAACTAAACTTAGTGCCTAGTCTGTCCTATGTGTCTTTTTGAATTATAGTCTCACTCAGAAAGGCTATCGGTGTTACGACCCTATTTCCTGTCGTCTTTACTTCTCCCATCATGTTTCTTTTCTCGAACGTCTGCCTTACTTTCAGCTTCCTTCTATCACTACTCCAATTTCCAAAGAAAATTTAGTTCACATTAATCCCTTTCCTTCTGAGGTCCCTCCTGATAGGTACATCCCTACTGTTCCCCATGACCTTACTCTTTTTTCTCCTCCTTCTCTTTCTCCTTCTCCTTCTCCCCAACTTGCTCCTGTTCCTCGTCCTCCTCCTCCTCCTCCTTCTCCTCCTCCATTGTTAGTTTATTCTCGTCGCCAGGCTCTCCCTTCACCAATTATCTCTACTCCTATTGCTGATCCTCCTACTTCTGATGACTCTAATCTTGCTGCACACCAATATCCTACTCAAGCGCGTCATACTCTAAAAAAGTTGAGTTGGTCTAATACATATTTTTCTGTTTCCTATCGAATTTTTTGTCTACTATTCATTCTTTTTCAGAACCTCAGTTTTACAAGGAGGCCTGTCAGGATCCCCATTGGGTTCAAGCTATGGAGGATGAATTGCCTGCTTTACAGAAAACTAATACTTGGGAGTTAGTTCCTTTGCCTGCTGGTAAAAATCTGATTGGTTGCAAATGGATCTATAAAGTCAAGACTCATTATGATGGTTATCTTAAACGCTACAAAGCTTGTTTGGTTGCCAAAAGTTTCTCACAGGAGTATGATATTGATTATGAGGAGACCTTTGCTCCTGTTATCAAGATGACTACTATCCATACTTTGATCTCTGTCGCTGCTGCTCGTTCTTGACCTTTATCAAATAGATGTTAAGAATGTTTTTCTTAATGGTCATCTCACAGAGGAGATTTATATGCGTGGCCTTCACCATTCCTGGACAGGTTTGTCGCCTTCGGCGTGCTCTGTATGGTCTGAAACAATCTCCTCGTGCTTGGTATGATCGCTTTCAGACTGCTGTTATTGCACTTGGGTTTCATTCTTGTGCTTAGGACTCTGTTTTATTTTTTCTTTACACCATTGCTAGATTTGTTGCTTTATTATTGTATGGGTATGTGGATGATACGATCATCACTGGCTTCAACTCTTCTGCTGTCTTTGAGGTCAAGTAGCATCTTTTCCGCACCTTTGAAATGAAGGATCTAGATCCCTTACAGTATTTTCTTAATATTAAGGTATCTTCTTCTCCCAAGGGCTACTTTCTATCTCAGGCCAAGTATGCCAATGAGATTATTCATCGTGCTACCGGTCTTACTAACACCAAGTTTTCTGATACCCCCATTGAGCTTAATGTGAAGCTCACCACTACTGATGGTGTTCTTCTCGCTGATCCTACTTTATATCAAGAGCTCGTGGGTTGCTTAGTCTATCTGAAGGTCACTCGCCCTGATCTTGCCTATGATGTTCATGTGGTTAGTCAGTTCGTTTCTGCTCGTTCTACACATTAGGCTGCTCTGGTTCGAATTCTTTGCTATCTCCAGGGTACTATATTTTAGGGTTTATTGTTGTCTTCTACTTCCTCTTTGGACTTACTGGCTTCAACTCTTCTGCTGTCTTTGAGGTCAAGTAGCATCTTTTCCGCACCTTTGAAATGAAGGATCTAGATCCCTTACAGTATTTTCTTAATATTAAGGTATCTTCTTCTCCCAAGGGCTACTTTCTATCTCAGGCCAAGTATGCCAATGAGATTATTCATCGTGCTACCGGTCTTACTAACACCAAGTTTTCTGATACCCCCATTGAGCTTAATGTGAAGCTCACCACTACTGATGGTGTTCTTCTCGCTGATCCTACTTTATATCAAGAGCTCGTGGGTTGCTTAGGCCTCGTTTGGCAAGAGGCTAATTTAGCCAATTAGCCAAAAAGTTACTAAATTAGCCAAAAAGCCAACAACCCATACCAAAAAGTCAAAGATTCTCTTTTCTCTCTACTTTTTGCACATCTTTTCGTAATTAGCCAAAAAGTCATCCCAAACATACAAGTTTTTTTTACCTACTTTTTTAGCCAAATAGCTAAAAAGTTACTAAATTAGCATGTTCCCAAACGAGGCCTTAGTCTATCTGAAGGTCACTCGCCCTGATCTTGCCTATGATGTTCATGTGGTTAGTCAGTTCGTTTCTGCTCGTTCTACACATTGGGCTGCTTTGGTTCGAATTCTTTGCTATCTCCGGGGTACTATATTTTAGGGTTTACTGTTGTCTTCTACTTCTTCTTTGGACTTGGCGGCTTATACTAATTCTGATTGGGCTGGTGATGTCACTGATCGCAAGTCCACTCCTGGCTTCTGTATGTTTCTTGGTGATTCCTTACTTTCTTGGAAGAGCAAGAAACAGACTATTGTTGCACGTTCCACTGTCGAGATTGAGTACCGTGCTATGGCTCATGCTACTTCTGAGATTGTTTAGCTTCGTTGTCTCTTGACTAATTTGGATGTCCCTCAGTCTTTTCGACCTCCCTTTACTGTGACAACCGTAGTGCTATTCAGATTGCACATAACACTGCCTTTCATGAGCGGACGAAGCACATTGAGATTGATTGTCATTTTATATGTCAACATCTACAGTCTGGCTCCATCTTGATTCCTTTCATCTCTTCAACATTGCAACTTGTTGATTTCTTTACGAAGACTCACATCACTGCTCGCTTTCAATTTCTTCTCCGCAAACTCTCTGTATTTTCTACTCAACTACCTTGAGTTTGAGCGAGGGTGTGAAAATATATGTTAATATGTTAATTATGGAAATATATCAATTAGGTTGATTGTATAGGGTCGATTGATTGTGTGAATATTAGGTTGATTGTATAGGGTCTATTGTTTCCTATTTCAGATTAGGTTTAATTTTGCTATATATCGGTTGTAATCTTTGTAGTAGACACAACTGAATATAAAGATTCATTCAGAAAACTTACAAGTTCCAAATCAGCCCGTTTAAGAAGTGAGCCATGAAAAACAGCTCGAGATCACTTTTTTTCTCAAATAAATGAACATAAACAAGCCAACATATGAGCTGAGCCTGACCCGTTCATGAACGGCTCGATTTGTTTGCAGCCCTAATCCCACGAAACTTTTTTAGGTCTAGTTGATGGCTAATTACTTCATCACGTGCTGAAAATCTGGGGTTGGTAAAACACTTGCATCCATACAGGTCTATGAATCCCAGTACATATTGAACAGAAATCTTCAGCAACTATTACTCAACATACTTCAGCGAAATCCTTGAGTAGAAGATATACCTTTATGTGTCTTGAAATTTAAAATGGAGAAAACAGAAAGTAGATTTGAGTGGAAAAAAAAATTCACAGTAGAGCCATTTTTTTCAGGTTCAAGTGAAGCAAGTGTTTGATTCCGTATAACTTGAAACACGAGCAGTTGTGGGAGAAAATAAATTCAGAATTTCACAAAAGTAGGTAAAATACAACAGAACATCAATACCATTATTTCATCAGCAAAGGCCGCTAATATCATTTTTATTCTTATACATATGTACTTTTCTTGGATGAATAATTTTTTTATAGGTACCATTTCTTAAATTCCATAAGAATTTTCTTTATCTTAAGAATCTTGCTGGACAATCCTAGTCAACCACTACACAATCAGTTATTGATCACATGCACTTTATTGCCAAAAAAGAAGAAACTATGATGCATCCTTGAACCTTTTGTTTCCAAAGTTTTCAGGGCTTAATTTTCTGCCCAACCACAACTGAACTTTACTTGTAACCAATAGGGAGAGAAAATATAGAATTCAGTGCTGAGTAAGGATTACAAGGCAACGAAGAAACATGTGGACAAGGAATAAAACACAAATGAAAAGGTACTTCCAGAAATATTAAACATTTGCAATCCTTTAAGGTCATTGAATGGTCAAGAAATTGAAGTTTATCTCATGTCTAAAGTGACTGACTTAATAAATACCACACCAAACATGCAATAAAGATTCATCTGCCTATACACACCAGCTATATCAAAGAATGTTATTTATGCTCAACACAGGAAAGCTTACTCGAGATCCGCGAAGAACATCTACAGGCATACCGAGGCCCCAGTTACCCCCACATGCTCGCATGCAAGCCATTAAAAGAAAAGCTTCTCTAGACATGTCACTCTCGTTCCTTGAAGTGGTGCAATTATCACAATTTCCTGCAAACATGCACAGATTTTAGATACATCTGCATAATTTTTTATAGGGACAAGGAATATCAAATGATAACTATTGTAGATCTTCATTCCAGATATTTAAAATTTGACAAAAACTGGAAATTTATTACAAGTATATCAAAAGATTCAAAATAAGGAACTCCAAGGCATTTTAAGGCCATGAACAAATAGTATCTCAACTTTCTTTCCAAAACATTAAATTATGAATGACCTTTCTAATTGGCTAAAATCTAAACCTTTTTTAAAAAAGGATAAATACAATGTATAATAGCTTCTAAAGCTATGCTTATATTATCACTACTAGTCCAATGTCATTTCCACTTCTTCTCAGCCTGTTTACATCCCAAAGCTTCTAGAATCCAATGTGCACAAAGAAGGCCCGGGTTTCAGCATGGGCACAACTTCTGGCAACTTCTAGAGGTACCATTAAAGGTTCTTAATCGTGTTCCAAGATCTAGAGTTATCATTGGTTTGAAAGGTCCCTAGAAAGGTTCATCAATGGGTATTGAGGACTTTGACAAAGAGGGAATCGCTGCAGCTTCTTGCAGAGAGACATTAACTTTACATAAGTTTTTCATTGTGGTTAGAGTTACCTTTGGAGTTTTGGCTGCTTGGTAGTTATTGAATAAAATATTCCAGGGGACTATCTTGTATGTGTTGGTCGTCAACTCATCATGTTTAAGCTGTCGTTAACTAAAATACACCACAAATATATATATATATATATATATTCTGGATTTTTCCAACTCTGAACCATTCAATCATCTCAAGACATCATCTGGTCATTAAATTTTGAAGTTTCCCAGAACCACTTATACATTAGTTTTATTTGTTTCCCCCCACACCACATAAGGTCTTCTACCTCAATAATTGTCAACAAACCCAATGCCGATAAGTTTCCACCAGTCAACATTTTTTGCCACCCAGAGACATTTTTGCATTTTATTGCTTCTCAAATGCTAATGGACTGTTTCATCAAGTCAGCAACGCATCACTGACAAATTCCGAAAGTGCTTCTTCACTGAAAATCAAAATATATTATTACTCCACTAACTACACAATCCTGTCAAAGTCTATTGTAATCTCATTGCTTTAAATAGTGAAACGCTTCAATGTCCTCATCTTGCCTTCATCCTGATCAAGAAACACATTCTTTTACGACTACAAGCCAATTCTCAATCTTGGTCCCAGTGGTGCTCTGGTACCTTACAGCAACCTCCGTCCATTGTCCTCCAGATTTCTATTAGCAGCATTCATACTCTTTCCAAACAAAAAGGAAATGCTTTTCCTACAATTATTTTGGCTAGTTTTAGAATGTTCCAAAGATGGTATTGAGAGAACTACATCAAGAAACACTTTAAGGAGCCAACAAGAGCCAATAGCCGGTATATTTCCAAGCAGATTTTAACTGTCAATCAACAGTTTTTAGTTACAGGACCCGGCTCTAGTTTATCATGCTATGGAAACATTTCTATTGTGAATTCGGTTTACTAAGAATGTCATAGTCTGAATACGTGATCAACTCCATCATTTGGTTTCTCTTTCTCAACAAGGTTTCAGAAAAATGAAGACTTCAATTATAGTAGTCATAATAGGCATGAAAGTTCAAGGGGCTTTATAAAGGGCACATTATAAACCATTCATAAAACTTAAAAATGGCACAGAAAGACGTCCAAAGGACCACTGGAATCTCTAATGTTGTAGACTATTCATCACCCCTTTGAACAAAAATCTGAACTATCCCCTATCAAAGTAAATCCTGAGAGTGGATCATATCAAGTACCATGACTGTAGGAGGGCATTGATGTGTGGACTAATCCTGAGAGCTGATAAGTATCATCAAAATATCTAATCAAAAGGAGATATTTAACCTTTTTTTGTCGGCACATTTGTCCACACCTCCATATGTCATCCCTCTAAGGTGTAGATTACAGTCGCACAATAATTGCATCCCTGCCGTCTTACCATCATGGCATCATCCCTTGAGAACAAGTTTTCCACTTGACTTCCAATAACAAAAAGCCCTACCAGCATGTCGCCCACAGGAAACACCAAATCTCACACCAGCATGCAATTGAGGTTGAAAGAACACTTTTTTTTTATACCAAAATACCAGTGGTACCGCAGCACTCATTTTTTAAGTTCAAATCTTGATGCCTTGCACAAATCCAGGATTTCCTATATCGCCATCCCCACCATATTTTAACACATTCAACTATTTGCCAACATCTAATTGAAAGTGCGAACAGTCCTTCACTCATATGGTGTAAATAATCCTTGCCCACCCGAATCCGCATTAAATAAAAAGTAAAAACTTAATTAGCCCACAATTTTACTATGATTAACAAATTCCACCATATATTCTTTACAAATATAGTAGGTATATAAATAGATTTACTTTCTCCTACAAGTATAAAACCCTCAGATAGAATATGAAAATCCTATATCTCAAATTCCAATCCAGAAATAGTTTAGGCACCAAACTCACGAGCTAATCATATGAAAATAGCAACACTAAGTCACTTACAAGGTATAGTCAATTATATCAGGCCTTTAATTTTTATAAATCAAACCAAACCAAACCAAACCAAGCCAAGCCTTAAGTCCCATCAAATGGGGTCGGCTACATGAATCCTTAGGCCTTTAATTTTTACAAATACAAAAATAAAATCAATATATATTCTCAACAAATAAATTCAAAGTTCACATAGGAAATTATAAGCAAAAGTTACTAAAACAAAAAGGCTTAAAACAAACTATAAAGGAAACAGGTTCAAGTAAAAACCGAACCGCATTTGTCAGGTGTACATTTTTCCCCAAAATAGTCCAGCAAAAACTTTCTTCTACAAGTTGTCAGCATACAATAATGTTGTGCAGCCATAAACGATTCCATAATAGCTCTTCTTTGATTTTCCTGGTGAATGAAGACCGAAAAATAAAATAATAACGCAGGTTAAACAAAAAATGTAACAAAATTTAGCACAGAAGGCCAAGTTATAAGTGATCTTATGATATTAAGAACATTGATAATTTGATAAAAAAATATAACTAAAAAAAGACTGAAAAATAATAGAACAAATCTTTCAATACACATGAGCTTTGGTAGAAACAAAAGTTATCATACTGAGCTTGCTTCTCCACAGTAGAAGTCAGCTTTTCCAAAGTCGCCTCTTGTATAATAAAGCCAACACATAGAAGCTATACCATCTCGACCACATCGTCCACTTTCCTGGTAATAGGACTCTAAACTCTTCGGACAGCCATAGTGTATCACATATCTTATATTTGGCTTATCAATACCCATACCAAAAGCAATAGTTGCAACCATGACATCCGATTCATCTCTTATAAATGATCTGCAACAAGAAGTAAAAGGATGAGTTGCACTTGCTAAGAGTTTGGTGTTGGTGTTGGTGTTGGTGTTGGGATGAGTTTTGAACAGATGGAACCACAGGCCTTCTAAAGGGATAAAACAAATATAAAAAAAAAAGGTTACATTACAAATACATCCCCTGAGCTTTGCTTAAAATACATATTGCCATGTGATTTGCAAAATTACAAATACCCCCTTGTCAGAATTTTCTATTTAACAGAATTAATTAAAAAAATAAAATATCTAACTGCTCTCCGATACAATAATAAAATTAACTAAATTATTAATTGAAATAAATTTTTGATATGATTAAAAACTGTTAATTGACTTGATGATTTATTAATAAAAGAGCCAATTGTTATGAAATTCGAAACGTCAAGGGGCAGGATGTAATTTCCAAAACCACGGAGGACAATTCATATTTTAAACAAATCTCAGGGGATGTATTTGTAATTTATCCAAAAATTTAAAAGGACTGTGCTTGCAAAGTTTATTACTAAAATGAAATATACTATTGGATACTTAAGCAGCACATTAATTTCATTGAAAGCAACTACCAAAGCTATTTCAGAGACATCAATGGCAAAAGCAGAAAACCTGTGCGACTCCTCCCGAGCTTTATTGTTCATTTGACCATGATATATTCCAGCCTTGATTCCAGCCTCAAGAAGTGACTTGAAAATCTGAGGAAGACATGATAATGAAAAATGTCATAACAAGACAAAAAAGTTTAACAATAAACTATCATGACCAAGACAACGGGAATGTGTGATGATACAGCATGTTAGGTGTCAACATGAATTATAAACCTAGCCTTTGAAAGCCCATGAATAGAGCCTTATATTTCCACATTATATTATGACCAAGAACTAAAATATATGAAAAGGAAACATCACAAGTCCGAAGATACAGACATATCGCAACCATATATCCATAACACAAATTTTGAAAGAAAAAAAAAATATATATATATATATGGATATTTGTATAGAATCATGGAAATTTCACATAAAACTTTGCAAAGTGTTAGTGATGCCGAATTTTAGAGTTCAATAGTTATAAATAAAATGTATATTTGACACACATATCGTATGCATGGTGTGACAATCGTGCAGAGTCGTAGCATACACAAATAACAACAATGATTGGAATATTACAATATTGGATGACATAATCAATAATTAAGGTACAAATTATAAATATAAATACAAAGTTCAAATATATAGATTCAATTCATTTTAGATGCAAATACATGCACAAATAAAGTCCAGATACATATATAACAATCAATGAGTACACCAACAATAAAATCCCATTACCATTACCAAAAAAGGGGGGTTGGGGGGATTGTAAACATAAAAGCATTAGGAAAATGACCTGTTCAACATCTTTGACAGTCGTACAGTATATAATAGTTGAACCAGCATTGGCCACACATTTAGAGACTTCCCCGACAAGCTCATCCACAAATGAAGAACTACGTTTGAAAGATTTGACACCATAAAAGAGATTATTGCGATCGAATGAACCAATAGTGACATAAGGATCTCTCATCTTCAGGGAATCGGTAATGTCAATCCTAACCCTGGAATAGTGAAAAAGAAAAACAAAGAACTTTTTTCATCACTAGCAAAGCTTACAAGTAAACTCTTAACAATATATGTGAGGAACTAGAAGCAGCTACAGAAGTAGTCAGGTATACCCCCCTGCACCCACACATAGCTCTCTCTCTCTCTCTCTCCCCAAATATGTGTATGCAAACATACACATATGAAGCAAATACGTAAATATATTTATATCCATCCATACTGAGGAAAAATTAAAAAACAATGAAGGCATGTTGAAATACAGTTGTAATAATAGTAATTATAATAAAGTATCTAATCATGTTGACAGGATGAAAGCTCCTTTATAACTTTTTGAACATAAAGTCGATTTATCAAAAAAAGAAAAGAAAAGAAAAGAAAGAAAGAAATTTGAAAGACATTGACCGATATAAACAAAAGGAACATATAGGTCTGTATTACAAAATCAGTACCAGATGGGATAACAGACTGACAAGTTATGAAGACATTATGATGTTAAAACTTCCCCTTTATTTTTATTTTTGATAAGTAAGATATATAAAATGGCATCAAAGAGGATATTTTAAGATGTGCTGAGATATATTAAAAGGCATCAAAACTTCACCTTTATTAAACAAAACTTATAATGCATCTTAATTATGTACACAGGCATGCGATCCAATGGTTAAAAAGCAATTAAAAATTGTGGCCTTGTTCAATTGCAAGGGAAAGTGATGTGCACATGTGAAATTGCAAAAAAGGATTCATGTAATCACAATAAGTTGGGAGATGGTTCCATTAAGATGAGTTAAAAGTGATGCAAATTACTTAATGAGTGTAAATCTGACTGTGTGATTGTGTGCAAGTGACACACACACAGATAATTGCAGGCATGGAAAACTCCAAATCTAAAAACAATTTGGTAAGGCAAACTTTTTTTTAGAGTTGAGGAGATCAAGAAGAAATATGCACAGTAACAAGAAGTGATATGCCATGAAATCAGAAAGGCTTGAATTGAAGTATAGCATATTCTTCAGGAATACAAACAGTGATAACAAGTGAAGAGTAAAAGAATGGGTAACATGAGAAAACCCTGTCTAGTGAAGTGAAAATGTCTTTGTAATCTGTTTGCCATTCTTACATACACTATACCGCTCAAGTAATAATTTGTTTTACCAAGAGCAATAATGGAATCCACCAAAACATAAAAACTAATGATCTCAACTTGCATTATTACGTATTAGTAGAAACACCTACTTTTCAGTAGCAGTTGCTGTTAAGCCAACAAATGGAACATTTGTAAGAATATTGCGCAAGTTGCCTAGCTGTTTGTATTCCACCCTGTGAAAACAGAGAGTTCCTCAGGATGAAAAGAATACAGATAAGACATCTATAATAACAATGACAAAGTTGAACAATAAAAATAATGTCAAAAAAAAGTGTCAATACATGTGTCATCAATTTCTACTTTCCTGCCTACAATAGTAAAATTTTCATTTCTGACTTTCCAGAATACATTTCTGGCTAAGCAAATAATATACAGAAAAAAGACAAAGGGCATATGATCGAGAGAGACCACCAAAAAAAAAAAAACTTGAAGATGCACCCAGCTACTCAAGTTCAGCAAACAGATTGTTAATGACCATCTGTGTGATGAATAAGGCCACACAATTCTACTTTGGAGTTCCATAATTTACCAATTGGAGTTAAGTATTGCACGACTCAGCTTGATAGGCTTGTGAACACTCTAACATTGCAAGATGATTCAAGCTACTCATGCTCAGACAAAAACTAGCCCAAGTATAGGCCCATTTGAGACCATTGGTCAGACCAAAAAACCAACATCAATTCTACTAAAAAAAGCTCATGAATTATCCAAACCAAGCCTGCATGCCCTCCCCTGAACTCGGCTAGGCTCATTCACAGGCCTAACAAATGGAAAACATGAGCCAGACTGAGAATGGAAGGAAAGTATAGCTGACCTTCTAATCATTAGAAAAGGCTCAATTAGTTTCAAAATTAAGAGACTGACTTCTTGAAGCAATTGCAATGATGTTAATGACAGAAGAGTACCACAAAATTCAAAAGAATTAAAACTTCAGAAAGTAAAAAAAAAAAAAAAAAACAAGAAGTTCTAAATAATTTGTCTTCATCAGAGAGCAAGTGAAAGATTTTAGAACAAAGCACACACAGAATCTTTCTGAGATAACTTGGACAATGACCCTATAGTGGAGATCCCTGCATGTCACGTAGACAATTGGGTGCAAGATTATTTAGTCTGAAAGTGATATATCGTCACAAAGTAGGACTAAAGTCTGATCCTAGCAAGGCCAACTACTCAGTCCTAACAGGTTTGACTCTGGTTTTAGTTTAACCAAAATGTCCTGTATCCGGCCCACTTATTCTTTTTTCATTTTCTTTTTTTCATTTGTTCACACTGACAGCAAGTGTCAAGAAAGTGATACATGTCAAACCACACACAAAACTACGGTCATCTTTCAATCATTCCAATGCTACACTTTGGTACACTACAACATCAAAATGCAATATTTTAAGACTCTCTAGCAATGCATTTGTTATTTTTTTAGCACAATCACGATACGATTCAGTTTTCACCGTACAATGTGATTATGCATACCTAATTACATATTTTCGCAATGACTATAAACATTAAAGTTTAATGCAATTATTTATATTTTAAAGAAACTTTTATTCGTTAATTTAATTCAAAGTTATATCAAATAAAATAAATAATTTCTCGTAGTGGAATTTGATAGCACACTTGGCAACATTGTATGGTGCCAACTTGGCACTAAGCTAATTGATGTAGCATTTTTGTGGGGGCAAAATATAGTAAAATTTTCATCGTGTTAAAATTTAGTACGATGGATAGCACACTTCTGGAATTTATTTTTTGGCTCATCGTGCCATATTATAGGTTCTTATGATTATGGGAACATTGTTAGAGATGCTCTAATAATAACCAATAACTACAAGACTCATGTAGTAAATATAAAGCAGTAACAATCTAACCAGAAATCAACCTAACCTAACCAAAAACTACAAGACTCATGTAATAAATATAAAGCAGTAACAACCTAACCTGAAATCATGACCCCATTCCGAAATGCAATGTGCTTCATCAACAGCCAATAGGCAAATTCCCATGTTAAGTAAATTTGACCAGAAGCTGCAATTGAGGTATATGTAGATTAGGACAACAACTCAAATTAGCATATAAACAAAAATTAAATACACACAACAACATAAATAGACACACATGTAAATTATGCAAATAGATATACAGCTACAGTTGATATGTGCAAATAGTTTGAACTCATAAGCATGCTCATTGTTAAGATTTCTTCTTAAACCAAACACATCCTAGAGAAGAAAAAAACAAAAACAAAAACAAAAACAAAAAAAAGAGCATGTACAAACAAAAAATGCCTGCAACTAGCAGATGGCAGGATTTAATTATAAGAAAGGTATTAATCCATCCCATAGTTAATCAAAATGGGAAATGAATGTGCATATACTGTAAAAAATGAAAAGACAAAAGCCAACACTATATCATCTCAAAACTCAGTCCAATGAAATAGATGTGCCTAACACCAAAAAAAATAAGAAATCTTATGTGAGGCCTCCACAGGGTGTTCCACTGCATCTTATCACATTGTGACAACCAAATGCACTATGTTCCACTGCATCTTATCACATTGTGACAACCAAATGCACCATGTATAGATCTAGATAAACAATCGTATTGTGGCATTGTATGCAACATGCACAAGAAATGAATCACACAAAATTTCTCTTCACAATTACCTGGTAGAAATGGAACATGCCTTTTCTGGAGTCATGTACAGAATATTAAATTGACCACTCTCAGCATTGCGTTGCACACTGGAGTCAGTTTGAGCACTCGAGAGATGCTCAGCTTTAATGCCCCGTTGTCTTAAAGCCATAACCTATGCATTACAAAAATAGCCCAATATGCAGTAATGGCCCTTTTGGTTCACTAGAACAGAGTGGAATTGAATAATAATTTCATCATAATGTCCATTCGGGTTCACTAAAAAAGGTATAATAAATAGACTAATAATCATTCACCACTGCAAGGGAATAGCCATTCCATTTTTACTTCACTCTAGTGATACAAACACTAAATTTGATGATAGGTGAAGCCATGAAGGTACCTGATCTTGCATCAAAGATAAAAGAGGGCTTATGACTACAGCAGTCTTTTTTGCAACCAATGGAGGAACCTGATAGCTTTATTACACGATTCAAACAAAAGGGTTTAATAGCAAACTAGTTTATCCACCAAATAACATAGATCTTCAAGAACAATTTTGAAGCATAAAATAACCAAATAACAAAAAAATAATATAAGAAAAACAGTAAATTTTTACCACAATGATTTGCCACTTCCAGTAGCCATGACGACCAAGCAATCTCTTCCCTCTAAAATTTTCTCGATAATCTCTTTTTGGTACGGCCGGAAGGTCGAATAACCGAAGAATTTCTGTAACAGGAATCGAAAGGAAATGAATCAGTTTTTATAGAAACGCAGAATACCTTGAATTCAAAGACTAAAAAACTACAAAATTGGACTAATACCACTGTGAGAAACGATCGGAGGGGTTTTCTCGAGAAAATAAGAAAGGAAAATGAAGAGAGAGAAGAAGAGAAACCTTTAGAGTGGACTCCATTTGGCTTAGTTCGCCGTCAGAGCGTGGGTCGGGGAGGAGAGAATATCAAAGGCGAACTTGGTCCGATGATATATACCTTTATATGTATATGTATATGTATATATATATCTGGAAATTGGTTTCCCGCCTTTTTCAGTCGAAAGAACTCTGTTTGGGGAAAGGGAAACCATTCAGCGTGAAATTCATTCATGTGTACGTGGGCTCATACCATCAATGTTAAAATTTAGAGAGGATTATGAGAGTCTTCAAAAAAAAAAACAGATCCCAATCATTATTGTCAGAGAAAATCAAAAATTTAATCCATCCCTTGCTACACTACACTCACGTATACCGTCGCATTTAAAAAATTATACTCTTTTTTTTTTTTTTAGGTCAACTTATTTTCTTGTCTTTATATATATAAAATAATAAAATAATATAAATATTTTAACAAAGTCATTTTAAGAAAAATAACAATAATTTTTTTAGTTTAACTCACACAAAAAATTAAATTTTTTATATTTTTTATTTTACTTAATATTTTTTACAAAAATGCCTCGGACCCCTAGTGGGGGTCACCGGGGGTCGTTTGTGTTGCGCTCCCCTTGGCCAAAAAAAAAAAGTTTTTTTTTTTTTTTTTTTTTCAGCGAATCATGGCCTGCCACCTCACTGGGGGTCGACCCCCAGTGGGGGTATAATGCATTTTCGATATAAAAAATACAACCATGCTAAATACCCCCACTGGGGTCGACCCCCAGTGAGGTGGCGGCCCGTGATTGGGGCGAAAAAAACTATTTTTTTTTTTTTTTTGGGACTGTCAGCCAGTGGGGGTGCGCACCTCACTGGGGTGCGACCCCACTGGGGGTATAAGGCACTAACTCTTTTTTATATTTTAAGTATTTTTTTATTTTTACTAAATATTTTTTATATTTTAAGGTTTTTTTTTTAAATATAATTAAGAAGTATAATGTTTTGTATTTTTTTTTAATTCAACAAATATAAAAAAATATATAAATTTAATACATTATCTTATTTTGTTATATTCAATAGATATTTTTTACAAATTTTTATACTTTTTAAATATATCTATATTCAATTGATCTAATTTAGATACAATAGTGGAGATAAAAATGAAAATTTATATTTATATATAAAAATTTGTACAAAAACTATCAAAAAAATGTTGTAATAGTGATATTATTGTAAATATAAATCACTTTTATTGTGTTTTGTTCTAAAGTGAAAGGTCACCATTAAGGTATATCATTGTGTTTAAAAATTCTATATAAAATTTATGTTGGTATATCATCACTCAATAAAAATATTTTCAGATAGAATTTAATGATAGAAAATTGTAGAATGTACTCATGATAATAGGAACGAGAAACGGTAGAAAAAAATGGCAAGATGATCATTTAAAAAAATTTATGACATAACATCAACAATCTAAGGAGTAATTCGTAATGAGATTATAAACCTCAAAGAGAGAAATGTAATTTTTTAAATATGAAAAGGGATCTATATTAAACAAAAATCTCAGGGAGTATCAATGTAATTTACCCTTACCTTGTCACGCCCCAAAATTTGAAAAATTAAATATTCAATCAATATTCCACCATCCAAATCTTAGGAGTAAAAAAAAATCTAAACGTTCACGTCTCCAAAGGATTTAAGTAAATTTTCATCCTCAAAATATTACAAGAGATAAAAATAAAATAAAAAACTAACAAAATGCCAACCAAACCATCCACTATAATTTTATAACTAACTAATACCTTCAACATTAAAGTAACAATAAATTGTCAAAATAACTTAAATAATGTAAAGTTACAAATCATGTCAAATTATCAAAATACTAAAGTCATAAAAAATAATTAAATAAATACATAAACTAATATCAACCCTAAACTTAATAAAACAAAAGAAGTCCAAACGACATGTCCTACGATCATAGTTGTTTTTTGTCACTACCATAGTCTCAACTAATCCTGCAAAGAAAGCTCAGTTGCACTCAAATAGAACGCACCCGAATTGCCAAAAGACAAAACAAATCAGTATACAATTATACTGGTATGAGTATAAGATTTGATGCCTACGTTTCCACCAGACACAACCAAAAATATATTTAATTCTTATTACGGGACAAGACAAGTAGTTCCATCCGTACAGAGACGAATGGGTAGTTTCCCGAGATACAGTAGCATTTAGTTTCTTGCCCGTATACAACGAAATATAAATTGAATATAAAATAAGCAAAATAAAAATAAAAATATGGTGGGTCAATCCTGCATAAAAAGTTAGTAAGGCCCACCATTCTGGAAAAAAAAAATAAAGTTAGCATAATTTAATAATAAGTAACTTGCTGAAGAAGTATAAAAATGCACCGTTTCATGCTTAAATTATTCGAATTGACCAAAACTCAAAGAACAAAAATTGTACATAATCAAATTTCCTAAAAGGTATCAAGGACAAATTTAGTAGAAACTGAACAAGTTGAGAGAAAAGTTTAATAGAAAATTCTAAACGAAATTCGATCGAAAAATCTAGAATTGAAAACGAAAAAGAAACTACTGTAAGATGAATTTTTTCAGAAAAGTTCAAAACACGAAAAATGTTCAGAATAATATTTTACTTCAGTTTGAGTGAAACCAATAAAAATGAGCTCGTCTCGTGGATTAAAACAGCCTCTAAAATCTGCATTGCTAAAATGAATCAAAACTACTATAATCAAAATCATCCGATTATAAGTTCCAATCGACCTTTTTAATAAAAAGTTAAAACACAAAAATTGTCTAGAATCACGTATACATACCTCTTCTCAAATTTCATAATTTATCGAGGTCATTTACTATTTTTCAAGATTTACAAATCAATACAATTCACACTATACTAATAAACTCATATTTACTTATTTGTACCTTAACTCCACCATTTCGCCCATTCACTTCCGGCCTACACATATATCCCATGTGTCTCCTGTATACCTAACACCACTCCAAAGCCAAACTTGCACGAAGATATCGTCCTGAGTTTGACCCATACTCCCCGGATGGTTAGCATATACGTACGCTGGTAAATCAAAATACTCTTCTACTCATGAGAACGAGACAACAATATATATATATATATATACACAATCTCTCATCTACTTATGAGAACAAACATAATAATGCCAAGCCTAAGGCATTTAAACAAATCTCATAATTTTCACTTTTTTTTATATACTTTCTCACCAATATTCAAATAAAACAACAATCTATAGAGTCATGGTAGAATATAAGAAATTTATCTATGGATTCCTAATTAATTTTAATTTCATATAACCATGAGTGTGATTACAATCATAAAATAAATCTATATAAAAATCCTAAACATGGCATACACAACTAATCAAAATAATTAAAATATTCATCCTCTACATCCAAATACAAAATCAAACCAACATTAAATAAATAAATAAAAATAACGAATTAAATATAAATCAAGAGAAGTGGATTTTATACTCACAATATTTTTTTAAATATCAAATAATTACTTAGAGAATTAATGAAGCCACCAAAATAAAACGCTAACCCTTTTTCTCCCTTTGCTCCACCTTCTGTCGTCTCTCTCTTACACACACCCAGCCAAGAGCACTCTCCTTGCCAAGAGCACTCTCCTTTTTTTCTTTGATTACTCTCTCTCTCTCTCTTCCCGTGGCTCTCTGTATGCTGCCACACCCCCCACAAACCTTCTCTTTCTTTCTTTGTTTTCTTATTAATTTCTAAACTTAATTGACTTCTTATATTATACTATATTATAAACCTAAGTCTAAATATATAATAGCCTTATTTCCTATTATATTATATTATGCAAATAAATCACAGATATAACATATATAAATATAAATATCTTATATAAAATCTATATCAATAATTTCTTTTTTTATAGATATATAAAAATATAAATATTCAAATTAATTATGTATAATTAATTAACACATCAAATTAATTAAATACCACATTAAATTCTTATATAACTACACAATTAATAAAGTAAAAAATAAAATCAAGTAATAATAAATAAATAAAGACTTATGAAAAATTAAAATCGCTACATACGCCTTTCAAAAAAACAAGTACTCAGAACATTACCAAAACAAAACGAAACAAAACCAAAAAAAAATCTAATATACACTCCTTTAAAAATTGTGCACTATACACACTTTAATTATGTCATTTTTATTTATTTATTTATGACCAATTTCCTTCTTAAGACTCATGAGTTATTCATTTATGCAGTGTACTGTGTTTAATTATGACATTTTTTTAGTTATAACTCAAAAAATTTAAATTATGTCATTTTTTTTTTTTAGTTATAAGGTGCACACCACAGTGTTTTAAAAAAAATAGAAAAAAAAATTAGATGGAAAAAAAAATGAGAGTGGGGAATGTTTAATAATATGACGTTTTAGGGATTGGCGACTTACTTGTTCAGTCCCACTTGATAGTATCCATTTGGGGAACATTTAGCGCTAAAGTCAATGAATGGGTAAGTCATAAAACTGAGTTAAATGATAATCAATTAAGCCTATTTGATAATAATAATTGATATCATTTAAAAATTTAAGTGCTTTTTAAAATATAAGTTAAAAATTATTTAAAAAATTAAGTCATATGAAATGCACTTAATTATAACTAAATTTATAAATATTAAACATAAATATCGACCTACACTATTACAAACTTACTACCACCACCCGTCACTACCACCATTATCGCTACGGCTATTGTTATTGCCACCATCATGCCGCCACCACCACTATTACTATCACCTTCACTATCATGCCACAGCTGTCACCATCACCTTCATCACCATTGTAATTGTTGTCATAAACACCACCATCATTTTGCTACTACCACCACCACCACCACCATCACTATCACCACTACTACCACCTTCATAATATAAAATTTGATCTTATATATATATTAAACAACTTATTTTTAGTTCAGTACTTAAATTTTTATCAAACAGTTTTTTGACTTAAAAAATTCAATATTGAGTTTTCAATACTTAATTTTCAGTTTTCAGATTTATCAAATACCACCTAAGTTCGACTCATATAATAAAATAAATCTATACATTTTAATTTTGTTAATTTAAATTTATTTTTTTATTATTTTTAATTTAAATCATTTATCTATTTGTGTTAAGTAAAATTAATGAAAAATAAGTATTTTAGTCACTCAACTTGATATAAAATATATATCT